TCTGGTTTTTTGTAAGGTAGTTAATTAAAAAAAAAAAAAAAAAGAAAGATCTTTCTATTGTAGCTTTGCAGGTTTTATTTTTTATTTTAGATGACCATAAAAGATTTTCATCTGGTTTGGTTTTTTCTGGATGTTTTCATACCCTAAATCTGTTGCTATACTACAATGAAGAGCAACCCTAGAAAGTTACAAACCACTTGTTTACAAGTGTGGTTCTGCTGCTACAAGCAGCAGTGGAATAGAACCTCTAAGTGTGGAGTTGCATGAATCGTATAGCAGCCAAATTACTCTTTTTCCCACGAGGCACTCAAGTCACCCACTATTAAGCAGATGATGCATATATGTAAAACTATAGCATAGCAAGGATTGTGCATTCTAGGCAGCCATTAACCAACCACTTCTAAAGAAATTTAGTATCCTAGGCCTGGTTCAGATCCTTAAACTTGTATAATTTGAGGTTAATTAAATACTTCATATGTAAGAACACTCAGAAAGAAATTCCAAATGCAAACCGTATGGGTTTGCATTCAATTGTCCTTGATTGGAGAGACTTCAGCAAATACATCTTTCCTCCCTTGACAGCACATTCAGAAAAGCAGTGCCCTTTGTTGGTCAATCTGTCTGTCTGCAGGTTTTTGAAGGCAAATGTCTCTAGTGTCTGGGTTGAAATCCATGTAAGAGCTGTGCTGGAAGTGCAAAACCTACTCAGAGCATCTTCAAATGCCCTGAAGCAGTTTAATCAAATAAGTTTATCAGCAGCTGTGAAGTCATCCTGCCTGCTTGGATGGGCCTATAGCCAGAGTGGAGGAGACTATGGAAACTTGTTTCAAGGCTTTTAACTCTGTTGTTGTATTTGACGTAGTTTGTAATCAGATGTAACATGACAGCAACAGCTTGACAAGCTGATAATACGCTTCACTTGCAAAATTCATGTGCTAAGACTACAAACACATTTTTATTTAAGCTATGTCATGTTTATGCATAGTAGGAGGATTTATTTTTTCTTCTGCGCATCTGCTATAGAAAGTCTGAGGAGATCTTGAGGTTTTTTATCTCTTAAAATATGACTGATATTTTTATAGCCCCTAAGAAAAAGTTTGACTTTCCCCAGTCACACTAATTTATTCGGACAGTCATTCAGATACAAAGCATGTATCTACAAAGCTGAAAGAGGTTCTCCTAGTATTTGCTCCTTGAAGCATGCGTGCCCCATTTTCTAACCCTTAGGGTGTTTCATAAGCTTTTATTATTTACCATATTGGTGAAAAATAGGAGATAGAAAAGTAAATCAGAGAATTTTTTTTTTTTTTTTTTTGGTCCTACATGGTCAGTCCAAGAGAAAGAATATAATTCAGAAAGTCATTGGTGGGCTTAAACCATGACAGTGATGTAAAAAAAGTTCTTGGTCATTAAGATAGTCCTGCAGTAGCTTCTAGGGATGATCTAAGTAAAACTGAAGGAGTTTCTCCTACTGATGTAGTATCAGAGAAAACACGGTAATGCCATGTTAGGGCATCATGCTGGACTGCCTGGTATCTGTGAATCTGTCATCTGACAAGGCTGTTCTTCCACTCTGTGAAGCTGAGTAGTGCTGTATGTTTTTCTCCAAGTCAAATCCTGTTGCATCTAGCCTATTATACTTGAGTAAAATTCTGCCTAAAAACATCTGAGCAGTGACAAAGTAGATGTGAGAATCCCCATGTATGCTCTGTATCTGGCATGTGAACATAGGAGGTGGGTGTTCAAATGGTGTCACTCACCAGTTGCTTTCCCATACTCCTCCAGAAAATCCTGTGTGGGTTTCCATAGGGATTCATCTCTGAGTATTTAGTAGGAGGAGGCAAGGAACAGGGGTTCAGACTGCATTATTTTCACCCAAAATAGAGGAAAGCATAAAAAGTTAATAGAATGTGAGTCTGTATTAAGACAATCTTTCCTTCTATTTTGAATTTGTCTGTAGGAGTCATGCTTGAGAACACTATGAATATTGTTATATGCTTATATACACTTAAACCAGTTTTTCCTGCTTTGGATCCTCTAAAATTGTATCTGCAGTCAGTTGTCTCCCACTACATAAAAGCACAATACTTGCTTTTCAAGAAGTTTTCCAAGAAAATTTGAAAGCTGCATGCACCAGAATGACTTTTCCTGTCTGTGTTTTTCTGTGTGGGAAAGAAGGAAGAGCTGAGATTTCAACATACATGTATGATTTTTCGAATGCTATCCTCAAAACTCAATAAATAAGTGAAATAATAAGTGAAATTACTTTACATAGCCTGAGGTACTCTTCTAACAGTCTTTCTTCAATATGTTCATTTATTTAGACAGTGAATCTGTAAAATAAATAGCTGCATTTTTACTCTCACTCTCTGCCATTTTACCTGAGAGACAAAGTACTTCTGTTCCTACCCTATAGCATATTCACTGTTGTGGTACTAAACCTTAACAATTGTTCATCTGATTCAGTTGTTTGATGGGATACACATTGTACAGATTGAATTATCTTTTTTGAATGTCAAATCAGATTTTGGAAACATTCCTGTTATATTTTTTCCTAGAAAACACTGGACAAAAATTTACATTTATTAAAACTGCATTCATTACCAAAGCCACAGAAACTAAGGTATTGAATGAATAGCAGTTTATCAAGCAATGTGTCATAAAAGGCAGTAACTAAAGAAAACCAAAGTAAAACATTCACTTTCATTATTGAACATTTTTAGCTTTATTATTATAATAGAATTACAATCTGACATAAAATAAAGAGCTTTTGCTAAACTCTGTAAAGCAATACATGCTTCTGCCATAAACAACCTCTATTAGATTTAGGTTTTATTGCCACATCACTGCACTGAGGTGCAATAAACATTCAATGTCATCTTTTTAAAATTATCCCAGGAGTAAACAGAAACTGTCCTCTATAAGAGTGTATCGTTATTTTCAAGGAAGACTTACTATTATTACATGGTTTAGCAAAGCATTGTAAAAAAGCTACATAGAGAATACCTTGTCTTTGATAAACTGTGCAATCAAGTTTATACAGTATAATACTATTGGCATAGACTAACTAAGAGGTGATATAATGCAATCATTGCATAGCAAAAAGCAGACTAGGTAAGTAATATTCACATCTAATGTGCAAAATGCAGACCAAAAGGTAGCTATGGATTGCTGGAAAGATAAAATGCCCTAAATGAACACACTAGTTTAACGCCAAAAATAACAAGATAAACAAGTACACAGAAGTTAAAGAGCCATAGTTTATTTTTTTCTATACATATATCTACACATGATACCAGAAGATGAAACATCCCCTTTAAATAAGGTTCCAATCAGATAACTTATTAAGTTTAGACAGGACTAAATGCTAGACAATGAAGCATTATTAAAGAAAAAAAAATCTTCCCTAAATAAAACATTAACTATTTCCTTTTGTAGGTAGAGAATGTCGACTTTTTCATTTATTGATGGAGTTTAGAAAACATTGCCTATGAAATTTGACTCACAATAGGTGTTTCTCTTGAGGCTTATATAGCATTGTTTTAAAATTTATTCAATAACATGTATTACTTTTTTTAACTGATGCTTGCAAATATCCACATTTCTTCCCATCTCTTTTAATAATCTTTATCTGAAATTTTATTTCTAAGAATCAGCAGTAAAGATACTGACTAGAATTTTTTTTTAAAGGGGCACGATACCTGCAAAATGGACATCTTGTATTTAAAGCCCTTACATATTGTTCCTACAAATATATTGCTACAGTAAAAATGAAATGTAGTAAGTTTACTCAATAAAATCTGTTTTCCTGTACATTCTTTTATGTATGACTTTTTTGTATTTAATGCTACATATATTACATCACTTATTGTAACAGTTATGTATCAGCAAATATAGCAGTAATATACAGATGAACTTCTGTCTTAACAAATATTTCACCATTTTTACCTACCAAATATAATCCCATACTTTAGTATTTATGCATGACCTGAGCAGACCAATCATTAATCTACTAGTATACATTGGATGACATTGTCAAATTGCAAGCTACTGTACACTTAACCACTTTACAAATGGAATTAATTCCAAGCACTTTCTGCGTATTTATTTTTTAGGCTTTCCAGTACTGCTGATTTATTTATTTATTTATTTATTTATTTTTCTTCAGGCTCTAAATATGTTTTATTGAGCATTTAACAACATATTAAGAGCTAAGAGGTGAATCCTACGTGATGTTTTAAGAACACAACTTTAAAAAAGTAAAAAAATGTACAATCTCATGCTGCATATTTACATATATTATTTAAATACTATATTTTGTCTTTCTGCTATCCATAAATCTCAGTCTAAAGCTTCTTTTTAACGTATTGTTTTATAAAAGAATACATTCAACATATCTAGAGCTTGCAAAAATTTTGTTTTGTTTCATTTTAACTCTCTAAAATATAGTGATGAGTAAAAGCTATCTGTAAAAGCATCCAGGAATTGTTTGGATTACACAGGTGATAGGGGGAACTTGGGATCTGCACTTGATTGTGCAACTGGTTTTAAATCTAGTCTAGTGACAACTTAATGCTTAGAACAAGGCTGCAATAAAACAGCAGATTAAAGCATTTGTTACCATTAGATCTTACGTGCTATACAATGACAAACTGTACCTACAGTGAGTAGATTTCCTTTTTCTTTAAAGACCATTTAATGTTATAATTCAGGTGTTTTGAATATAGAAGAGAAAAGGGATTAGGAAAATAACATCTCTTATTTGATTCAGCAAATGGAAAGCTTTACATCCTTGAAAAAATTACAAACAGTGGTTGAATAAATGGTGCAATATAGAATGTGCATCGGGAACATCATAAAGAGTATTTTCCCTCTCCCCACAATCCTTTGAATAAAAATATCTTTTTCACGTACATATACAATACCTCTTGGGGACATTCAGTACTAAGCTACCTACAAATAGTTCCTTTTATTTTTTTTCCTTTGTTTTTTTCATTACCCTACAACTCTTTCCCATCTTCAGAATTACTTTTCTAAAGTATATAGCTTATATTGTTCTCTCTCTCACCCACAGGTTTTTAAAATATACCGATATATTTTACCTTTTGTTAAATAAAGAAACCTTTATTTTCTTTAAGACAGAGGCAATGAAGCAAATGGGAATTACTGTATGTGAAAACGGGAAGCAATTCCCAGAGCAAATGACAAAACAGAACTGTACAAATAAATGAGGTTATTGATGTGGAGTTGGAGCTTTTAACTGGGGCTCCCGGTTTAAATAGGTAGCCCAATAGACTAAGTTAAAGATTCCAAAAAGCAAGGGGAAGGCTATTCTTGATAGTCGATCAATTTTACTGACGCTGTTAAAAGTTTTCTTGGGTTCTGCAGGTTTTGTTTCTGGCTTAACTTCTTTGGGCTCGATCGTTGCACTTTTAGCAATGGTTGCCAGCCCAGGGTCCCTTGCAATATTAGGGGTGTAGCTTGTAGCTGCAGCTGTGTAAGTGTTATTTTTCTTAATGAGAGGATCCTTCACTTTCTTTGGCTGAAGAAAAAAGAAAATGTTTTATTCTCACTGTCTTCTCAACAGATGCGATTATGAAAAAGTATAATAAAATTTTTCAATTAATCAAATTCATACCAAATATTGCAATAACCTGTAAGAAAGAAGTTAGTGTCTGGAGACATGATTTATACAAAATATTTAGGTGAAGACAAATTTAAAAATCATTCATCTGCGTTACCTGCATTACTTAAACCATTATTTATCTAATCTAAAAATTAGATGATGGATAAACTGTAATGAGGGCCTCTACCGATAGCTAGGCTCACTGATCGACAAAATTACTTTTAATGTTGATCAGCAGTGACAAACGACTCAATATTCCTTTAATCAACAGGACTAAAACTTTAAAAGACAGTGAATTTCTTATTGTATTTTCCAATATTAAGATGAATAATGTGTTATGATGCATTCTAAGACAGTTCATACATTAAAATATACAATAAAATTATCATGTGACCATGCACTAAAAGAATGGATCATTTCTTAAACTGTAAAGCTACCAGTATTCTGTTCATGAACAGCTTTCACCAAAAACACATGCATTATGGAATAGAAACTTAATTTTCTTGTTTGAATGTTACAGTTGGATCATAATGGCTGAAATGTCATTCCATATGCAGGACTTAAATAGCTGTATCATTTTTTGCCTCCACCTGACTATACTGCTAAAGTAAGAAAGTATTGAAGGTCTTTTAGTGGAGAAGAACTTATTGATCAGAAAGAATATCTAGATTTTTCCCCTATGTCCTTAAGTTTTCTGGTGTTCTACTTCTAGGATCTACGTGTAGGAAAAAAATATTTTGACATCTGGGGACACCACCTGGAATTCAATTGTCCCTGTTGCATACAGTCCAAACCCTTCCTCCAGCCACTGCACAAAGGTAAACATAAAAGAGATGTAGTAGATCTCTAAGGAGGGATAAAGAAAAGCATCACTTGGCTTCAAGCTCCTCTGCTTATGAGGGGGGGAAAAAAAAAACAAATCTATAACAAAAAATCCCAAGAGTTTAGAAAATCTTTAGGTGGTACTTGGCACAAAAAGAATAGCCAAGTGTTATCCATTCTATCTTCTTATAGGGAGAAAAGGAATGCAAAAAAAAGATATGGCTAAATAGAAAATATCAGCAGAATGTGATCTATTATGTTGTTTCCAAACATAGTAAATACAGCTCTGTTTTCAAGAAGCAGCTGTACAACAAAGACAATATTTTTTTATAGTCACAATACTTCTCATGACAGATTAACTATAGATTAACAGTTATATAGACTACCCAGTGGAGGGGTTGATAGAGACTTCTTGTTCAAGAGGTGAAAGTTTCAGAGAGCAGATAGGCTCCTGCAGGACACTTTAGAAATTGAAGGGAAGCTGCAGAATATCAAGTCATCAGAGGCTTCCCAAAGCATGGCCTGGAGCCCCATGCAGGAAGGAAATTAAGTCTGAAGTGTTAGTTTTCTGCTACTTAGTAAGAAAAGGGAATCACGTGACAGCTCTGACGTAGATGCTCTTTATTGCATGATAATAGCATGTGGCTTAACTTGAGGCTAAGAAAAGGCTTCAGGTTGTCTTAGAATATTTCTGCTGAGCAGGAGGAACAAACAGGTTGAAATAAAAAATACTCGGGGAAGAAAAAGGTCAATGTCAGAAGAAGCTTTAGTTGTCTGTCCATTCTCCTTCTCCTGAGCAAGAAGGCTGTTAATATGCTTGCTCAGTATGAAGCCAGTCCCGTTTCCTTCTTAGCTGGATACTCTAGTGAGCAGCAATACATCCAGCAGGAAAAGAACTTCACTTGACATCTCAGAGGAGAACCTTTCTATAGATTTAAATGTCATGAGGAATCTGATCTGCAGACAGCCCCGACACCAGTCAGGGTCTTAATATTTCATGTCAGATTCAACTTTATGAAAAAATAATACAACAGCTAATTAGAGCTCTAAATTTCATCAAGGTACGATACTCTGTTTACTGGTAGTTTGCCTTCCTTGCCTTTTCTTACGTCTGCAAATAATACATGTATGTCTTTGCTGACTTATATCAAATGATATATAAAGACCCTTACCTGCAGAGGAATGCAAGGCCATAAGTTTTCCAACGTTTTAAACAGTGTTTGAATATTGTGTTTATATTGGTTTATTTTTCTTCTGAAAATGTAATTTTCTTTGAAACAAATGAAATGGCTGATTGTAGTAGTATGTTACAAGGTAGGTTATATTAGCAAGACAATATTTAACATTTAAGGATTTTGCTCTATTAATACAGTGCATTTTTTACAATGCATATGATGAAGATAAGAGACAACAAAGAATCAAACAAATTATTTTCAATAAAAATAATTCTCTTTCATCACCTATAAGTCCTCAACAATTTCTTGAAGCATCTGCAATTTATAGACAAGGTCTGATGCCAGACAAAAGGGAGTCAGTGTGGTGTCTCTCTATTGCATTCATGAAGGTATGGATCAGGATTGTACAGTCCCAACACAACTGTCAACATTTTCCCCAAAACAAATAGACTAAGAAGTAAAAATACTATTTCTATTTTCAAAAAATAGGGAAATAATAGGAGGCAAAAACAGGGAAAGAAAATGTCCTGCAGTGATTTATTTGATCGTGATCATAGAGCAGTCTTCCTGATGGTCATGTTGGGGAGCAATGTACTTAGGAAACTGTCAAATATAGTACTCACAAGATTCTTTTTTTCCTATGTTTATACTTGAGGCATCCACTTTTTCTCTTGCTCACACACTAATTGCCAGCCTTTAGAAAAGATACTCCATTATCCTTTCTGCTCAATAGCACAAGTCAGAATCTTAGTAAAATTTTAAATTACTAATAGCATTAACTATCATCCAGTACGTCAGAAGCAATATTTACATACTCAATGTCTATGTAGTTATTGTTTATGTGTAGCAATGCTGTGTGTGAATAGATGAGGAAACTCTTTGGAATAATTACTTCCTATTCTAAATATAAGAATTTCTAACAGAGTAAAAAACCCCATATAATGACCAAACATGCCACAGGATGACCTGTTGGTATACATATTAAGTGGTGTTACCTTTTCAGGAACGACGCTTTTGCCATCCCATGCATAGCCTCTCTTTGTGAAGTAATTCACAGTTGCAAACTCAATGAGTGCAGAAAACACAAAGGCATAGCACACGGCTATAAACCAATCCATGGCAGTGGCATAGGCCACCTTGGGGAGCGAATTCCTTGCACTTATGCTCAGGGTAGTCATTGTCAGGACAGTTGTCACTCCTGCGAAGCAAAACAGTTTAGTGTCTAGATCAGTGGCTGTGTTTTGTGCTTCATTTCTTAACTGCTACAACAGATGGGAAAGCCTTGTCTTCACCCCTAATTCTTACAAACTTCCCCACTTAAGTCCAGTGCTAAATGAGGAGATCAGAGTTCAAATTCTGTGGAAATTTCAGGATTTGCAAAACATCTTTTATACCTTTATTGTTTGACATTGTTGTAGTAGAATGTTTATAAAGTTGGACTGGAAATTGTATTTTGAGATATGGACTGTATACTACTTTCTGCTTCCTGATATTTGGAGAATCACTGTCATTGTTCCATATTCATGCCCTGTGAAATGTCCTACCGATGTAACAGTTTAACATTTTTCATTCCTTTTTGGAACAGTTATAAGACATTTAGATAGAAAACTAAAAAAAGTTGTTTGCATTCAGCTTATTTGGTGTACGTTCCTTCAAATATATACTCAAGTGCACTAAACTTTATGTGATACTGCATTTTATTTGAATTGATGGGTTTACAGATTTCTGACCCTTTATTCACTGGTGCCCTGAAAACAACAAAGAATTAAGGTAAGAACAATAACAATGTAGTTTACATTTCTGATACCAGAGCTTATCACTGCTGATGAACCCTTTCCCTTAACTGGCCATGGAGAGCAAGCAGGACTCTTATTGAGCTGACTCTGCTTGCAGCTGCTTGAAAAATATTCTGCAAGTGCAGGCTGGGCATTTACATCAAATCACATGTGTAGGAGTTACCTTGACAACTGCAATGTCATGTATTGGATATGTCTTGTAAGCTCAACTTTGCTGCACTGTTAGTGAAAATGTGCAGTGGTCTAAAACAGGCAAAATAATAATGAGTGGTGTATTTATGTGCTGGTGTCAAGAGCATGAAGGAGGAATCAATTTCTCTTCACTGAGAGATAACCTAATCTTGTCTTTGACCCATTACTAGTGATCTTATGTTTCACTTACATAGTAGCAAACCAGGATTTATAGTTTATATAATCTGTTGTAGTAAGTAGACTAACAGATGTAAATCGTGTTTCTGTATGTATATACATTAAAGCAAAACTTTCTGCCACACTGTTTCACTGACATTAAGAAATGAACGAGCTATCTGGATACATAACCATGGAGTAAACACAAGACTATTTACTAAGTATTTGTCTTCTAAAAGGAAAACTTTCAGAAATATGTGGATTCTTGAGCCTCTGAAAATAACATCTTGAACACTGTGCAGTATTACATATTATTTACTGTGAGCTTAGGAAATCTTAGAAATCGTTCTCCATCTAGGACCAATGCAGTACCACATTTCAAACTGATAATCTGACATTTCTTTTTAAATGGCATAAGCAAAAAGAGGTGAAATAGCAATTTCAGTAGCTTTGACTACAGAGGCCCACAAAAATCCCAGGTTAATTCTCAGTGAAGTTGATGACAAAAACTCAGGACTAATTTTAGATGTTAATCTAAATATTACACAAATGAAATTTAATTTTATTGCGGTCTAAACCATTCTTCTGTAAACACACATCCATATATCAACAGAAAACCTCTATGTGGTTCATGAAGTCTAAGGCTATGCAAGTAGTGATTGATTTCCAGAGGCACTGGGAAACTAAAGCACAGCTGTAAAGAGTGCTAGAAAAGGTCTATAAAAACAGGTCTTGAACAAGAGTGTCAGAGTCTGCATTTCTCAACATCAGTCCTTGTGACTCTCTGGCCAGTGTAAACGGTCAAGTGCTCTTTGGCAAAGCAGGAGTGTGCATGGAGTCCTGTCCCAACAGTGCCCTGAGGCAGGAAAACCAGTGTAAATGCCAACTTGAATGTGTGTTCTTCCACGTCCTCCTGCCAAAGATGTTCTGGTGTCCCATCTGAACATCACAAAAAAGACTAAGTCACAGCAAAATCCCAGGTTCTGTCTTCCTTAACTGAAGATTTTTTACTCTTTTTCTAAATTATGGATGTGACTTGGATTAGTATCTCCAAAGTCTATGCTAGTTGTTTGTTTCTAATTTTAAGATAAGTGTTTGCAAGAGGTGGTTAAAGCACTAGGGACCAACTGTATAAACTGTATAAAGACTGCCTTCTTACTACATTTGTTGAGTGTACCTATTCACTGCTGTAAGCACAATAAGCTGTCACGGATTTCAAGAGCAGACCTTTAGCAGCAGCCTGCAAAAGGGATTGATGGATTAGATATTTTAAGAATTTTCAAAGGGCCTAAGGATGTCAAATGACCAACAACCATTGATTAAAACCTTTCTGACAATCCCCACTATGAATGTCATTGCTATTGTCAGAAATACTTTATTAATACATTTCTTGTTTTGGAAAAGTCAAACTGCAATAGATTGCTCAAGGTATTTTCAGGTCTCTTCACAATCAGTTTAAAAGCTTTAGTCCTTAAATCAGTTTCTGCTATATCTTTGCAATGAAGTGTGTTAACTACTGTGTACTCCACTATGTCCAGGCTTGTGCTGTTCTCCAATATCATGTTATGCATAAACATAAAATTTCTTAAGCCTATTTGGCTGATGATTGCCAAGCAGGTTATAGGTCTTGCTTACCAAATACAGTTCTTGCTGGAACAGATTCTCTATTAAGCCAGAAGGACACCTGTGAGAGTATCACTGTCATGATGCATGGCAGATAAGTCTGGATGACAAAGTAACCAATCTTCCTCTTCAAATGAAAATGTGTAGTCATAACAACATATTCCCCTACAACCAAGAAAAACGGGAACATTAAAGCTTCTATAAATATCCAAATTAGAAGGCTCTACAGGAAATACTTTTTTCATTATATTCACCCCTATTATAAAAAAAAGAAAAAGTCCTCACATCAAATTGGGTCAGCTTTGAAGAAAACATTTAATAAAGCAGGTTCTGAAGTTCTACTAGTAATACAAAACTAGACAGTTCTGAGAAATGCTAATTAAACTTACATATTTTAATCTCTGAGTAGTGAGTGAAAGTCTGCATCAGAGGCTGTTTAGGCCTCTTGTGAAAGGTCTTATTCTATTAGAAGATAGAAAACCACCATAATATATACATGTAAACATCAAAAAAAGACTAAATCAAGACAGGTTCTCAGAAGCGTTTCAGGGCCAGGCTTAAGAGGTACTTGTTGATGTGATTTGGTCTGCATTACCACTGTCTGTGCTTTATGTACTCTGAAGATTTTGTCCCTGTTCTGCTAACTCAGTACTTTACTAAATGAGTATTCTGTCCTGAAGTAAATGGTGAACAAAAGACTATTTTTATTACCACTAACTTTTTGGGTGCTATGAAAACATATAAACTGGATATTCTAGTTGCAATTGAAAGGAATCATAAGTATTTATACAACTTTATAAATCTTCTGTGCCAGAGTACAACAAATAATGCTGGATTTTTAAAAACTGTGTATTCTCAAAAGATTGGGAAACCTATTGGTGTGACTTTTTTTTTTTTTTTTATTGTTTCTTCTTGTTATGCAATAAATATTACCTTAGGAAAGGAACAAGTGGACATGTAACTGAATGGAAACCTCTGTCTAGATTAGAGATGACACATGAAATTACTGTTATTCTATTTTAAAATGGAGGCAGCTGGAAAGAGAAAGTTGCTCTTGTACAGGAAAAACTTAAATTGGATTGAAAAACTATGTCTAGACAGTGACTGCTTATGCACCAAGCATGTCAAATGCCCTTTTCTTTAATTCAGAGTCTAGAAGAACATTCATTTGAACAATCTTGCTCAATGTATAACCCTGAGGAAAGCTTATAAATAAGATGTGACAATACTCCTGATATGATTCAATATAAAAGACAGTAGCAGAGGGGGAAAAAGAGAATCAATTATAAATTGAAAGATATAGCAAAGGATATACAAGGAAAATTTTCTTTTAAAAGTGGGACAGGCAGAAGTAGTATAGTGGGCACTATTACTTGAATTTTGCCCACCTTTCTTTAACTTTCAGTGAAACAACCTTCTTTTCTTCTGTACCAGAGATTATGATCTCATAAAGAGTGCCAGCTTTGGCTAGAAGAGACAATAACTTAATTTTATCTACAAAAATGACGTGGGAAGCTATTTTAATGCAATCGGATATAGAATGCTCACAATGGTATGTCAGCATTAATTCAGTGATTGTAGATGGCAAGCTAAGAATACAAAGTGAACACACCACTGTACTCTGAAGCTTTATGTAGCTACTTATATTATCAAAGTATTTTTAACCTCTGGAAAATGAGAACAAGATTCAAAGCATAAAGGCAATTAAAAAGACAGGGATTACTCTCACCTGTTAAGCATTGCAGCAGGTCTGAGCTAGAAGTCAGATAAAGGTAGTGCCACGAGGAGTAAATCAGGCAAAGCACAGGTCTAGAACAATGCCTACAGTTCAGTTATGAGGCAAAACCACGTTTTTCAGTCTCCAAAGTACCAATGGACTGCAGCCATTTATTAAGAGAGAATAGATCTTTGAGATTTGCTTAAATAACTGAAGTACATGAAATTACTCAGTTATTTGCTGAATCTTTAGCTTCCTGCATCTTACATCTTTCTCTAATAGAAAAACTTTCTGCTGACCACTATCTAACTTCCCAGAAATTCCTCTGTAACTCTCTTTTCAAAGGCCATAAAATTCCATACAAGCTAAAATTTCAAGTAGTTCTTGAGCAAAATATTTCTTGTATTCGCGTTGTCTGATTAAGGTCACATTGGCTTTCATAAGTTGTAGCAGAAGTTGTAGCTTACATTCTCTTATCTCCTATCCTTTTATCAAAGAAGTTAGAACAAAGGTATTTCTTTTTAGCTTTCCTGGAATTCCTAAATTCTTCTACAAATAGCTGTGTTCATCAAATTTGGTTTTCAGTTTATTTATTCTCTGAAGTTTAAACTAGTTTATATGTATTTCAGAATATGAAGCATTTAAAATTGTGGAACAACTCCTTCATCTATATTAACTTAATGTTTTGAATGATTCTATGATTTCCAAATTTGAATACTTCCAGTGTTCTGGCTGCAGTTTCTAAATAGCCCTTAATTCTATAGTGTATCCCAATGCTCAGGTTGTATAAACTAACCTATGTCCTAGGAAGAAAATAGTTGATAATTCAGCAAAGTTACATCAAACCTACTACTCAGTGTTCCATAAACTATTTGTAATAAACCCAGTTTATCAGGTGAGCACCTATAATTGATGTTAATCACATCAGACATAAGGTTTGAGCAGGGGACTGAGTGTTAGCTATAATACTACTTCTATCACTGCAGATAGAAAGCAACACTTTCTTTGTCATTAATTTAAAACGTAGCTTTTCTCATTTATTACTTTTGCCATGTAACCCAATAGGAAACTCTGAACAGCATCCTCTCAGAAGATTTACAAAACATCAGAAAAAAATAAACTACTGTGAATATAAATCCTGATAATTCTCAGTGCAAAGCAATGTTTTCAAAGTTCCAAAATATTTCTATGTAAATAGGAACTTGCATGAGCCCTTTGAGCATCTGTTAAGATGCTTACAAAAAAGATCACTTTAACCTCTTTCTGAGTCAATACGAGTTAGTAGTTGGAGATTGACAACAATTTTACAAACAAGTAAAAAATGGATATGAATAAAATTTTAAGCCTGTAGTACCTTCACACAGATGTAGTACCTGCCAGCACAGATAAATAACTATGCTATAGAGATGTTTGAAGTCTTTCAAGATTTTCTTGTCATAATAAATAAATAAATCAGCATTTAAAAAAGTCAGATCCAGAAATAAGGCTAGCAGATGAAGAAACGAAAGGCGGGGGGGAAAGGACTTTATGGATTTACGAAGTCACTTATTAGTTTTGAGAATGAGTAACCCAGTTGCACCCAAATTCTTGGAAAATACGTGTTTGGCATTCCAGGCAAGTGCAAATATTATCTTAAAATTGCCGAAGATGATGTAGATTCCTCTAATGATCTACAGAATCAGCAGCACAAGGCTTCATTTTCTTGCCTAATAAAGGTGCTGAGACTCTTAAGTGAAGATTGTTTTCAATTCCTTTTCTCTTTTTGTCAGATGAGTCACCATCCACAACTCTGAAAGCAGGGAGGAATTTCATAATTTTCATTACATATATCATATCTTAAACCAGAGATGATCAGAGGACAAATTTGTGCTGGAGGATTCTGTTGAGACTAGCTGCTCACCTACCTGAATGGGGAGAAAAGTGATTATTAACCACTTCTGATCCCCAACACTATTTTGAGGAAGGCAAACCATTTTCCTTTCCAAAGCAAATCAAGAAGAATTTTTTGTTAAGACATTGAATTTGGAAACAAGAAATATGTTTCTTGTATATTTTAATCAGGTAGCAACTACAGAGGATTGCAAGTTTGGTAATAAAAAGATTCTTTAATGGACTTTTTTTTTTCTTTTTCTGATAACCACTGTAGTTATTTCTTTGTAGTGTTGTTCTGCATCTAGACAACAGCATCTTCATTTCAGCATTAAATACATTTACTGTATTTAACTTTATGGATAGGTATGGTAAAGAGTTTCACAGGTAGAAGAAGGAGGCAGAATTCAAACTTAGGAAGTATGGGCAAAACAAATATTTATTTCTTCATAGAAATGTAGGAAGAATTTTTACATTTGTTTGCCTTCAGTTCTGTTTAAAAATTTATTATCTGCCTTTCTTAACAATTTATAGGGTTCTTCTCATGCTACTGTCCGATTACCCTGAACTATATCTGGTACTACCTATTTGGATTACTATTTGGATTAGGTATGTTCCCAAGGTTACAAAGTCTCTTCTAATTATCCTGCCACCTTTATAATGCGTCCAGCAAGCAGAGAATTGTCAATGAGTGCAGAAGCGCAGGGACACAGGCTGTCAAGGTGAACAAGTAGCTTCAGAAAAGAAAGAGCAAAGAGCTTGAGATCCTTGCAGTTCCTCTCAAATCCCACTGACTTTCCAGCAAAGGGCAGCTGAGGTGAATTATTGGCTTCACAAAAGCCAGTGACAACATTTCTAGCTGTGGCCAGGCCAAGAGATCTCCCCTTTTCCCTTTACTTGTCTTACGCATGCCTCTGCGCTCAATACTGGAAGCAGTGAATCTGCAGGAACAGTTGTGTTGATACTGCCCTTGTGCCCTTAGTACTGTTATCCCACTTCTTTTGTGATTACATCAACGGAACAGAAGCTTCCAAGCAGTAACCTGAATATTGGTCCACTAGAAACTATTGTCTGTGAGAAGTTCTGTTGGCTTAAGTGAGCATATGAACATATTTTAGCAAGCTAAATAAAAAGTCAGACATGAACTAGGGTTCAGCTTAAAATTACTCAATTTTCCTTAAATGTTCATGACTTGGAGTGACACATTAGAAGGTCTGAATTACGCAGGTGTAAGTGTACTTCTCTAGTTTAGTTACAAAGTTGGGTATATTCAAAACAATACAACTGCTTCTAATGCAGCGCTTCTTTTGGTCCACTGAACAGTCAGCCTAGTTAACACTTTGAGCTCTTATTCATGCCTTATGCTCAGTTTCTGACTGTATCTGAGTCTTCATGCCACTTCCAAATTATCAGGAAAAAAAAACCCCAAACAAAACATCTTAAACACTACAAAGTGAAAAGCAATGTGTTTTAGCCATCTTTAAGGTTACAAGCATATGACATTGTAGATGTTGGCTGTGTTTCTGTATCTTATTACTAGTTTTGGAGGTAAAGCTGGTGCTAGCATTAAGATACCTAAATCCTGTTTGAATGTTCCAGATGGTTTTTTATTTGATGACATATTTTTTTTCACTCTCTACATACCTCTCTGAGAAACTATATGCTGGCTTTTAGCAACTTCACTGCCTCCAGGAATGCAATCCTTGAGGATTCATATTTTTATACAATTATTTTTTTTAAGCTTATATGGTAAGGACATAATACAACAAAGATATGAGGAGTGCTTCTTTATAATGTAAATTACTGTTTCTTCATTGTGTGAAGCTTTTTAATTGTTCAAATATTATAATCACTAGTTGAAAAAGGAGAATCCCAGGATACATTCTTTTCAAAGTCACAGTTTCCTAATCTGAAGCTCATATACTGCAATTTACCTCTCTCAATCTTTGGCCTTTGCATTTTTTCTCCTGCCCTAAATTATGTTTTGGCAGTTAGATATGACCCTTACGAAAAACAAAACCAAAAACAAGCCCACAAAATTTTCACAGACCTGTACTGGACTGAACAATTCCAGAGTCCACAGTTTGTCCAAGGAGATCATATTGGTTCAATCGAGAGCCGTCTTCAGCCACAACTACTGACCTTGCTGGTTCCCGTGTCCATTCATACACAACCTCTGCTCTGGTATAAGCATCTAATTTAAAAGAAATACACTGCATTTCAGCTTCGAACCTTCTGTTGCCATACGGCTTTATCAGAACAATGTTTTGAGCAGTTGTTTCAATATTAAATTCTCTTTAATTATCTATAGAAACCCACAACCAGCTTACTGGAACTTTTTATCTATGGGAAAATAGAACTGATTTTACAGGTGTATCCATATGATGATTAGCTATGTAACTGGTGTAGGGCTTGATTAAAGTTGGTCCTCAATGGCAAGAAAATCTTTCTCTTCCTTACATCATCTCTCCATTTGGTTATCCCCTCTCATACTGACCCTGCTGTATAACAGGCATAGCAGACATTTCTGAGGCTACCAAGGCTCAAGTGAGGTTAAATCACAATGAATTTTTTTTTTTTTTGTTTTTTTTTTTTTTTTGCTCTGGTTATTTCTGAGAAATGCTCACACTCAAGTTCACATTTATCTGAGACTGGAACAAAGCAACAGAGAACCACTGTGGATTCTCCAAACCTGAGTAGTCTAGTATGTTACATAGGTGATTCAATAGCATCCTACATATGCTATCCAGGTTGTTTTGTGCTGTTATTTGTAAGTTATTTATGTTATTTCAGAAATCAAACTATATATCAGTATTTTTAATCTTGGTCCCATTGTAAAATTCCTCTGTCATTTTGCATAGTCTGGAGCCTGACACACTTGCTATGAGCAGTTAGGGTAGGAATTAGTTGTCTACATAGAGGCATCTAGTGTCATTCTTCACACCTAAGGGTATCCAAGACATGTATGGGACAGAATGTGTGATTAGAACCTGCATAAAGCTTGCACACACTCAAGTCAGCTGCAAACCAGGTGGGACATCTTAGGGTATCTAAAATGGCACTAGACTACTATCTAGAGGGTGAGATTTTTCCCTTTTTTCAGTATTGGCAAGCAGGAAAGGAAAGGGAGGGATCTGATTCACTTGACTTCATTTGTGAGTTAATAATTTTATCTTATCCATGTAAGAGATAACAGTAATTGAAGAGCTGGTGTTGGATGGAGTATGCTGGTAAATTCCTTGCATGGCATTTGATCCTGCATTATTGAAGTGGAAGGGCGCTTTTACCCTCAGACTTCATATTCCCCAAGCACTGTAACATATACATAGCTTTTTGGAATCAGTGGTAAATGCAAGTCTGTATCTGAAAAATAATGGTCACATTAATACAACAATTGGTTTGCTAATCTAGTCACATAAAAAGTGGCAATAATATTAATTTTGAAGCATTTTACTTGTTCTGGAGCATGAGAGTAGTCTGGGGGAAAAAAAAGGACTGATTACCTAAGCTGATGAGAGCCAATGGATTGAAAGGAGGGGACTACACTCAACAATGCTGGAAATGAGTTTGCCCTGCCCTGTAACTGCCACATTCAGTGCTCTGTTCAGCTTCCATCCCCAGCTTTCGACTCAGATATTGCATAAGTAGCAGCACAGTCTTTTGCTCCTACCACTGCTGCTTTCCAGAGTGGCCTTAGTTTTAAACTGACAATCAGATTTTTGTGGTAAGAGTTGAGGAGAGCATCTGCCTTTCTGATTTTGTTTTGCCAACATATGGCTTTTTATTGTTCCAGAATGTCTTTAGCATTTGTCACATTGAATTTACACTGGAATAACCTCTAGCTTAAGCTGCTATTTTGGCAAATCACTTTAGCCTTGGAGCTGGGTCAAACATTTATCGGCCTCTACAGTATGGGCAGAGACCATAGGAGACGTGCAACTCCCTCAATACGAGGCTTTTCTGAATCCAGCTCCAATGTGACGAGTAACAGTGGAGGACATGGAAAACTTATCCAATTTAATCCAAAACAAACAGAGCTGGGCAAACATTACCTTAGGGAGCTACTAAGTGTAATGTTGCAGTCTGCACTTAGAGCATGGCTTTCATGACAACTAAATGTCTTTTTCAGTAAATTTTTCAGTACATTAAGATGATTATATTGAACTGCTTTAGTTGTTTTACAGAACTGTCCCAAATGTATTTAATATGATCCCCACTGGAAAGTGGTAATTAAATATAAGAACTGTTCTTTTTCTGTGTACAATGGCAAGTCCCATTTTCATATCATTCTTGGGTCCAGCCATTTGTCCCATGGAATTTATTTCTGTTTAAATCAGTAGCTAAATATTTAGCCAACTATTCTATAATCTGATAGTTATAGCATATAACCTGATGAGAAGGAGGGGGAAGGTCCAGCTTTAAGGTCCTGTTCTGGACAGTTAATTCCCCATGCAGTGCTTTCAGTAAAACCATGTTACAGAAGGAATTCCTCCTCATGAGGATCCCAGATGAGAAACTCACCTGAATTTAGTAGGAGAATGCAGTTTTGCTGAAAACTCCTTGATTTTGTCTCATGGCCCTTCCCAGCATTTGGAGTTACTTGCCTGACATGGGCTTGTTTAGGACAGCTGACATGATAGCCAGTTAGTGTTAAAAACAAAAAAATAATGAAAATAGCCTGTAAAATGTGACAGACCATGCCTGCACTCTGACATTAGAATGCCAGTTATTGCCTTGGACTTGAGTGTAAGAAATTGTCTTTCAATCAGAAATATCACTGATGTAATTATTTATTTTCCATTTAAGAAAACTATGGATAATAAAATAATAAAAAATATTTTGCAGGATTAAAAGGAAAACAATTTAGTTACAAATGACATGCAGATATACTTGCAAGTCTCTGCTATCTTGCTTTTACCTTATGGTGGAGTTGTATTCAAATCCATATTATCCAGCCCTTTTCAGTCATAATTTCTGCATCTCTTAATCATTTAATGGAAGCAAGATTCGAGTAATCTGGAAAGCCATGCACTTTGTGAACCGAGAGTACACTCATCTGGGACACAAAGGGCCAGAAAGAACTCAATGTAGGAAAACCATGGGAACTACTGTGCAAACTAGGGAGTGTCTGGTGTTTAGGCTGTGGCTCAATGATGCACACGTGATAGGTGTCGTATCCAGTCTACAGAACTTCAATCTAATAGTTCACATTTGTTCAAAAACTGTTGATGGTTTAGCTTTGCATTAGCAGGTTTTATGCAGGATTAGCCATCTTCCCACCTCCCAGATCCAGCACGTGCTCCCCATAAGTGGTTTCATGGGCATTTCAAAAGAAATTCATCTTGTGACCACTCCAGATCTAACTGGGATCTCCCTTTATTAATCAAGAACCCACTATCTGCCCTATTATTAGCTGGAGTAAGGCTTCCCCTCCACCCCCTTCTGTTTCACAGGAGATTTCTAAAGACTTATTGGAAGTGCTGTAAGAAAGCTTAAGTTTCAGGAGTAAACTGTTCTTGTCAGTGATACTCCAAGTTTGTATGAGCTTTTGTTCTCTGCATCTTATCTAGGCGGCCAGTAGCTCTTTAAAGACATAACATCAGTCCTTTCTCATGGTAAACACAGAGCCGTTCAGCCCAAAGTAAATTATCACCCTGTCTAGTACCGTGTGAAGAATGAATTGGGTGTTCTGTTTGTTGACTTCTGAAATTGATCAAGCCACTAAGTACCCATTATCAGTGAAACGACCCATTTCTACTAGAAAAAAATAGCCGTTGAGGAAACAATTTGTACACTATTAAATCTTCTATACTTTTTGTCTTCCTTGTTTGTGTAGAACCAACTAGAGTAAAAGAGCTTTTCACTGTTTTTTGTTTCTTTGTTTTTTGTTTTTTTTTTTTTTTACTTAAAGAGTTGGAGGGGGCTATATTTAATTTTTTTAAATATTTTGTTTAGCTAAGTTTGACTGCATCAGTGTCAGGTTGGTTGCTACTCAAAGTTCTGGGGGAAATTCTCAACTTACAGAAAGCTTTGTCTGTTATTAAACTGATTTCAATTACATTATATTTTGTCCAGTATGTTCTCTGATCTTAGGTTACAAATGCTGCAAGTGTAGGACTCAGTTTGGAGATCTGTGAGATTTTTCACTTTCAGAAATGTTACATAATTGGAATATGAGCATTTTATAATCTCAGGCACAATTTTGTTCTAAATATGCCAAACTCTGATGAGGGAATTGTTTTCAATTAAACCAAATCAGTTATCCATGGTCTGCATTACTTTAACACTGGTTTTGGGTCTTAACAAAATAAATCAGCTATAAGGTTAACAGTATTTTCTAAGCGCCAAACTACTTTTCTAGATGTTTAGAGCACTGCCGTTTTTCTCTTTTGTGAATGTCCAGGCATGACATTGGAGGATATTAAAGACATGAAAAGGTTCATTATATTAACTATAAATATATGCAAGAATAAAAATACACAAGATTAAAACCTTGAGGTTTTCTCAGTTGCTAAATACTTTTGTAAACTGGCCTAAAAAGGGAGAAACCTCAATTTAAAGTAAACTTACAGCTTCCAAATTTCAAGGGGCAAGCATGTACATCCATAGGAAAGTCTTCTAAATGCATTGGACATTCTGCTCTCACAGTCAATCTATAATGGATTAATGAGCAAAAGCACACATTTATTCTAGTTTCATAGAAATAGCAAATAGACTTCCATTAAGACATATAGAATAAGTATTGCATAATATCTGTTATGTGATTAATAATCTACTAGAACGGGACCCGAATTGTCTGGCTGGGGGTGCCAACAGGCATGTGTGGACACAGCAGTGCAACTGGCTCTGCCCCTCTACCATGTTCACTGTACAGCAAAGACATGCTCAGACTTCTAACTTGGCATAAGGATTAAAATCTATTAGCAACTGAAAGTGGTTCCTTTTTGGCATCATTACATTGGCGCACTCTGGATGCTCAGACATTTACTGCAGTCATTTCATTGCTATCAGCTTGGGTGCAAACATGTTTCTCAATAATAGAGATTAAATAAACTATAAACAGTCACATACTACACATCAGCAAAGAATGAACAACAATACTTGAATACTAGGCAGAAGATTGCTTCAAGGCACTTGCAAAGGTGGGCAAATAGAAATGGTTATAGTCAAAAAAAAGAGACATATGAACAATGTGCTGCCAAGATAGTGTTCTTGTGGGTTAAATCCCTATCAGTCAAGCATCTAGGAAGACAAGGAAAATTGACCTGGACTTTTGTAACTAGCAGCCAAGCAGATTCTACCCTAGCCTAGGCAGTCTTGAAAGATGTTGTAGAATAAATTGAACATATTTGACAAGCTCCCAAAAGCCTGGAGACTTTGTTTTCTCCAAATACTTGCACTGCTTTTAAAAACATCTTTAAAATTGTTAAAAGAAAACTCAGTGTTCACCTACATACTAAGCTATTTATCTTGACCTTAGTCAACAGAGTCACTTTATGCCTTGTTCGATTCCATGGAGACATAAATGGGGAATGTGTAGCTCTGTACAGACAACATACCATTTCTTTTTAGTGTTTAATTTCCAGTCTTTTAATCCAGAATGCTTCCGTGACTGTGTATCATTATTATTTCAAAAGGATTTATTTAACTCCTCTGCTGACAACTGGATAGCTAAAGTTCAGTTATCCATGAAGAGAATCATACATTTCCAATAAAACTGGTGCCAGCACAGAAATATTATTTTTTCTCCTAACCTTCCAGTGAGTTGTCTTTCCTGTTATGAACGGAATGAGAAATGTCTATTTTTAGACTGTCATGCTCTGTATTCCAAGCACAAGAAATGTGAAGAATGGGCAATGAATTCTGTGCATCTGCTAGTTCTTAGAATCTGCTTTCTATACGATCTAAAGATTAATATCCCTTGTACACCATCTAGTAGTCTAGATTATATTAAACTTTCAGGCTTTATAATACTTTGCTAATGGAATCCTTGAAAGCAACTTCAAAATAAGGTCCTTTGCAAACTGATGGATTCACAATACTATAGGTACCTTTACAAAATCATGCGTTAAGACACATCCAGGCAGTGTAAAGGTAGCACAGCAGGAGGGGAAAAAAAACATACCAGTCTAAATGCCTCAGTTTGTCTATCATTCTATGGCCTATTGTGAAAATAATTACTAAGCAGGAATCAAATTATGCTCAAAAAGGAAACATGTTTCCTGTTTGGAAAATATCATGCTTTAACAAGTTAAATTGTCAAACTAAACGAAGGTTATAATATTTTAGGGCTCACCTCATTGTGTATAGCAATGTCCCATCCTCTGTAATTCGTAATAGTTTATTTGGCATTGTCATGTTATGAGCCACTGACTTCTTTCCATTGTGGAAAAACGTATCAGGTGTCCAGATTTTGCTGGCCATTAAATTATTTAGCCGGAGAACGGTCATAGGTCCTTTGAATTTTAATCTCTCATCTTTCCAGCTTTGGCGGAAAAATACATCTATAGTGTATTCCTACATCGATTCAGAAAAAAGGGAAACACTTATGATGCTCTATGTCGCAATATGAGAACCTGAAAAGTATATTGTTGCTGTTCCCTAGAAGCAAGATGACTATTAAGGAAATTAGTAATTATCAGAACATTTCTTTTCTATATTACAACGTACCTGAAGCCGGTTATTAACCAGTTACAATATCATTACTGTGTTCAACAGAATAAAGATTAGGGAGAACAGTATATCAAGTTAGACAAGAATGTGAGATAGACTATAGTGGAAACAAAATAATTCACCCTTTGCTCACTTTTCCTTCACCTTCTATAAAACTGTAATTTGAACCTGTGGATATGCAGCCAGTATGCATAGCCGAGGAAGAATATGTCTCTTAGAATAAAACAAGCCTGGTGAGACAGGGTCTTCCTAGAGGCTTTTGTTCTGTTTCATTAGCATAAATATGTACTCAACCTGCAAATAGTCCACAGTTCACTTAGAATTATGTGGTCCAATATATGAGATGTTGAATGGCTCATTGGTCCAAATCACTGGACTACAGCTTGCAGAAGCTGGGGACAGCTTTGGACCAAGAATTATAGTTGGTTATGCAAGGACTAGGCCAATGGGAAAGAGGTACAGTGGCTTACTCAGTGCATATGGAGCAAATCAAAATAACCAGCACTCACCACGAAATGAAAGAATTATTTGTTACAAAGCAACAGGAACAAAGTTAAGAGGGAGAAAGTGAAATTAGGAAAAGTATGTTAGAGTATTATAAAATAAACACAGATGTACATGGGGTGAAAACGTGGAAAACTCCTGTGGATGCAGTGTCGTATAGTATTTTCCCAGGGAAAAATTCCATTCAGTCATGAAAGTTCAGTATGGGATTATCCTGACCCTTCCATCATTCATGGTTATGCTATTGTGATAAACATAAAAAGTAGCTATCCAAAGACTGCTCAAAATTGCCCCGAATGATAATCTTTTGGCTGAAAAACTGAACCTTTGCTGAGATCTCCTGCCAACAGAGATGGCAAATCCTGAAGTTAAGGAAATTCCTGTGTGTGAGGGCACACACAGCTGTAAGGAAAAGAGCTGCCCCAAGGAATATGTTAGTAAATAATTCTGGAACTGGTATGCAAAATCACTCTGTACCAGACTCTCTCAGATTTGTAATTTTTCTTTTAACAAATGGTAACACTCCTTACAATGTAAGCAATTGTGAGCTGTTTATTTCTTGTGCAGCTATCAGCAAGTAAGAATGGTGGTTCTTACTGGTGGTGTGTTTTTCCTGATTTTAGGGCATGAAATATCTAAATTTCTTGTGGCCTTGGAAATGTTATAGTTCCATGGGGTATTCTTAATTTGGGTTTCTTCAAGTTTTAGAGTTGGGGATTTTTTGGTTGTTGTTCTTTTGGTGTTTTTTTAATTTTTATTTACATCCTGTACCTGTGAATCATTTAGGTGCGTAGTTAATTGTATTTCCATTTTTTCATCATGTGCTCAGTGAGCCCAGATGTGTTCCGCTCCAGTGACAGCAGTTGTGCACTTGCAACCAACTACTTGCTTCAAGAATATCGCTGGGTCAAGGCTTTAGGTTGAACAGTGTGCAAAATCTTGTCCCAGGTGTGCAGCAGAGTAGCAGAGAAGGAGGTTTAAGAGGCAGTAGATGGTATTAAAATGTTGGATTTCCTCCATGTTGACTACCTCCAAAGAAAATTTCCTCCTACACACATGGGAAGGTAGAAGACATACCCAGAAGGTGACATCATTTCAGTGTGCATGTAAACCATTCCCTTTTTATCTCTTTCAACTGCAAAGAAGGAGGTGAGTGGGAGGTGGTACAGGTTGAGAGAAGTGAGTCTGGTTCTTCCCTTTATATGAACACAAGTTTCTTATGCTAAGAAAGAACATGGAATCTGAGAGATATGACAGCATAAGATAGAACTCAATTAAAAAGTAGCTGACAGGTCATGTCTGGCACAGACTTAATCTCTCTCTGTCCCAGGCTGTTGCACTACATAGGATGAATTTGTTTCAGCTGAGATTTCTCAACTCCTTAGTTTTCACTACCCGCTTTAACATATACGATAATTCTCCTCAAATGAATCCTGATAGATAGCTGATCTTTAAGATCAAGTCATCGAATACTCTAATTAGGGCTTTCTTCTATAGGAGGGTGCCATACAGTACAAGGGAACAGAAGGATTTTTTCCAAACCGTGTAGTATAGCAGTGGTCTATGTACAAATATATGAGTGAGATGAAATTTGGAATAAGTTCTCCACAGTAGAGACTCTTCATTCCTTAGCGTGCAGGTAAAGAAAGAAAATTCCTGTCTGCACTTTGGCAGTAAGTTGTATGATATTAAATATTTACAACACTTTGACTTAAATATTCTCTGATTTACTCATCTAATATCTCTTCCCAGAAACTGTACAGGAATGTAGTAAGATAAAATTAAATTCCTGAGGAGCTTACAGTACAGATCAGTGGGAATGAAGGTTTACTAAGGGGAAAAAAGAAAAGTCTTTATGAAAAAAAAAGTTAATTTTAAAATGCTTCATATCCCACATAATATACATCAAAAATTTCACAAAAATGAGTCATGTGAGAATAGCCAGTTATCTGTTGATTACTCCAATCCACCATCTGAGAGAGCATCCCTGAAAACCTGCAAAGTTCTTCCAGGAAAGATATTTTTAAAAGTGCTTTTTTCCTCTTTAACTTTATTCACAAGTTGAAGAACAAGCCAAGACATTCTCTTTATAGATTAACAGGTTATGTCTATGCTGCTCTTAAAAAAGTGTATCGAGAGTGGGTAGGAACACCATGTACTCCCTGATATATCAACCTACTATCTATATAGCTGCCTCATTGGATTCTGCAAACAGATGGTCTCTAGGTATGCTGATGTCTCACTGTGGCTGTAGTTTCATAACACATGGCGTCAGCTGGAAAAGCTCATTGCCAGTTCCCAGCCATCAGTCCCAGGCTCAGACAGCAGCGCATCGTTCCCCCAGTGTGCCAGTACAGCTGCGTGTGAGGCCTCCCTATTCCCAAATCCCACAGCCCAGGCTACACTTACTGTAAATCTGCTCACTGGAGCAAATTTGGGGTAGCCCTCAAGTGACAGTGTCAACAACCAACCTGTAGTATGCACAGAGGAATTTGCACTACATGTACACTGGAATTAAATCATACAAACTTTATATTCTGGCAAGTTCTTCATTTTATCTTTCTCTCTCTGCTTCTGATTTCACATTTATTTCCTTATGCAAAAGAGTTAGCTGAGTAGGCAGCACACACATTACTTTTTAGGAAAGGTGAGTAGGAGTTTTACACTAAATACTTTTCTGTAATTCCTTAGTTTCCAAAACACATGAACACCTGCCTGTGTGTTTCTTGGTCGCACACTATATTAAGAGAATGATGAATTCTTTCTCCTGTTTAACTAGGTGAGAATCAGGAGCCATGTGGTATGGGGTTTTAATTATTTTTGACAAATGTTTTTGTAGGTAATGATGGTTTATGGTACAGTAATTCAGCTACACTGAATTATAGTCAATGTTTTGGGTTGTGGGCTTTTTTAAATATACCTATTCATATTTCTGAAAGTAGATTATTTTTGGCTTCAGTATTATATTCTTCCTTAAAACTCAGATCCCATACAAATATTAGTTTGTCCTAGGAATGTTGAATTAGCTTTACCTTCTACTTAATAATTAAATCACCTGAAAATACAAAGTAGAAGTAGATGCTGAAGTCCAAGCATTATATAGTCCTAAGTACTTCAGAAGGCCTATCAGTTACTCTAAACTTACGTCTACATGTAGGAGAGCATCCATGTCCATTTGTTTAGTAGATTGCCATTTGTTATTGGAGTTTTCTCGTAAATATGACTCAACAGAGCAAACAATAGCTTAGCCAGCTGACTTACAGAAAACAACTCTAATAAATATTAATATAGAGCACACATTCACCCGCATAGATCTATCACTCTTTTTTTTCATTGATCTCTCATAAACATCTCTATCCAGCCCAATACTTTAAATTACATTACATTAATTTTCAGGAAAATAGTAAGAGATCCATTCCGAGAAGGCAGGTCTCTATAAAACTGCAGCAACTTCAGATCACTTATAAACTGCAGCTGCTACAGTTTTAATTCAAAGACTATTAAATCAAAAATAAAAATTGGTCACATGACTGCATTTGAAATTTCCAGTTTGTCCAGCGGTGATTGGTTACCTATTTTGAGACAGAAATGGAAAAGCAAGATGAGGTGTTTTACCAAATACAAATAGTGTATATCAGTGGTTTCTATCGATCTTTAATCCAAGGAATGTGCTCATTCTAATGTAAAATTTAGAGTAATAAGTAGACATCGTAATTTCACAACATCATCATAGAACAAAAAAGCAGAAATTATTGAATGATTTTATTTAGGTAGTTATTCATCTTCATGGTATATATAGTTCTTAGACAGACAAATCACCAATCTAGTTATTTCCCTAGATTACTTTTCTATTGTAAGTAGTCGTAGCGAAATGACTGGTCAGAAAGTCTGTGCTGCCCAAGCTATTCTTTCTCATTTAAATATCATGGCATCAGTTGCAATTATAAATTTAATTATAGTTTTATAAATGCTATTTTCCAAGCAATCAGGGAAGTGGTGTCTTTGCATAACGTTCATTTAGGAAAATAAACTATCTTGTCAAAGTTATTCTCTGTTTTCCATCCCTTATCATTGTTTTGAATAGTTAGATACTTGTACTAACCTGATATGTAAGACATGTCTACAGTTTAAACTGAAGTTTTAGTTTAAATTAAACAACTGACAATTTTGTGGTAAGAAAAGGAACTTGTTTCCTTTCCTGTGATAATGTGTTTTTTTTGGGGTGTCCTCCCCCCACCCTCATTTTTCTTTTGGTGAATGTATATAGCTAAATGTAGCCAGCTACAAGGTTGAACTGTTTTCTTCATTTAAATTAACGAGGGTGTTTTCAGCATTCATCCTAACACAGAATCCAGCAGATACTAGTGGATGCAGACCAGACTTTCCCTGTCAATAACAACCTACTTGTGAAGACCTCGTTTATATGCAAAATATTAAGTCCCTTATGAGTATTTTTACACACTTTTGAGTATCTCTTAAGACCAGAGCTCACAACATCTTCATTCAGTGTTCTGAACTTCTCCATTCCCTGCAGTTATCTAGCAATTTGATTTTAATATTTATTCCATAAAGAATTGACACTAATTCTCTCATTAATCTTCTCCTCTCTCTCAGCAGCCAAGATCTAGAAGAGTCACTTCCCATTGATCAGTAGCTTTTAATATAAAACTACAGGTTAGACTGTATGGATGTCACACTGTAGGCATAAGTGTTAATTGCATTTTAAGATGATGATCTTTCTCAGCAAATTGGATCAGTGATGTGCCAGCAAGGACCTGAGCAATCATTCTCAGGAGAATGTGTATCCAAACCCTAATGCATTTCATAATATATTATGTAGCAAATAGAAGGTCTGTTAAAACACTTATTAAAGTCACTGAGGCTGCTAATTTCAGGGCACTTAAATGCAGCCACAACTGGCAGGAACGGTCGCACATAAAAGCTGACAGCATTTTGGAATCCAAGGTTTAATAAAGGCCCAGACTTAAAAGGAGTAAGTAAGTTACTGCATATATTTTTCATCCTCCAAATTAAAAAGACAAGACAAAATGAATGCTGTAGAAATATAGGCTATCACTTACCATATCATGGTCTGAAACAGGCCCAAAACTGGTGACGAAGATGTCAGTCTTCACTTCAGTTACACGCTCTGATGAAGCAGGAAATTAGGACAGTGAGTGTCTATCAACAGTCTTCATTAGATCTAACCACTACAAATTTTCACAATAAATAGAAAAATTATTGGCTTTGATTAGCTATTCTAAAATTGGTCTACAATATGGTCCTGGTAATTTATTGCTTCTCAATTTAATTTCACAGTCAATATTGTCAGCAACAATCTTTTTATTGCAGTGTTTCCACAGAACTTTTTGAGACATGGCTTGTGATACCACAGTACAGCAGCCATAGCTGCACTGTTGTATAAATCTTTTCACTCTTTGACTAATAAATCTTCCTGTCTGGTAACATAAACAGTGCTATATATTTTACACAGTACTCAAAAGTCTTATTAGGTACTCAGAGTTTCTGGGCAAGCTGAAAGAAGGTCTCTAATAATTAACCCTGGGCTTATGAATTTTGTAACTTTTATTGAGACACAGGAATAATGAAGAAAAAGAGATGATGCATCATGGTGTATAAAAATGTACAGATATTTTATTAGCATGAGTGAGAAATGGCTGCACTACCCTTAACTGCAACAAAAAAAAGGAGTTAAAATTTTCCAAACAAATATCAGCTAAACTTATCTACTACAATTTTTCACTTATGTATAAACACTATAGGTTGTAAATGTTCTTGATTTGTTTTTAAACTGATACAGGCATTAACAACAGTAGATTTCTTGAGCTACCTGATTTGTTTTTAATAGGCCTCAATGATAGATTAGTGTAAATGATAATTCAGAAATCTAGAATGTGTACACAACACAGATTATATGTATATACTATGCCATAAAGCTAGACTTCTCTGTGATTTCAAAGATGTACATTTGCTCCATGGCACAATGCCCTTGTCCACTTCAGAAGGATATAATGATTTTAGTCGTCACAGATGCTGAGTCTGAGACACCTAAAATGGTGCTGATCTATTGTTAAAAGTCACTTTGAAAAACACATGAGTTTAACCTCCCTCTTCCTCTCCTCTCCTCCCCCGCTACACACACTTTGGAACATACTGGTATTTTCCAGGCCACACATCACGAAATATTCACCCAGGATGGCATATATCAAAATCACTCTGCTGATTTAAATATAGCTACAGGGAGTAACACCACCTGGAGGCTTAAATTCAAACAGCTAACCCCATCAGCTTTCAGAATTTACAGTGATGTTGAGTCTGAATACGTTTACTATGGTGCTGTATGAGCCAGGGTGGAGTTTTTGGTAGAAGTTTCAAATATGGAAGGAGTGATACGTTTCTCAAATAACTTTAAAAAAAAAAAAAAAAAAAGTAGTTTAGAATATTAGAAGTAATCCTAAAGAAAAAGAGCTAACAGAGAATTACAGGTGTAGTAAGCAAAAGTCATGCAGCAAGCAAAAATTTTCATAAGAGTAAGAAATGCATATATGTAGCTATCTGTATAATGCTATTTAAATATTTTAAAATAACTAAGTTTAAACCCCAGTATAATGCAACCTTCTGATTTCAAAAGGCTTTGGACTGCTTAAATATGATTTGTTCCATCTAACAAGAAACTTCTGACAAAAGAGAAGCGAAATAAGGAATCAAGGTTAAGCAGCCAGTAACAATATACATTTCTGTATCTGATGAAAAGTTCTAATGAGGATCCGTGTTCTACAGTGCACATACAGGTTTTTCACTTTCATTCAAAAAGTCTACAAATTCTAAATATATATAATGTAAGCAGTTTAATATAATTTTTGATATATAATAAAAAATTTCCTTCTGTGAGACAGCAATAATCGAGATAACATATCAGATCTGATTCTATTGCCATCCGAGTAATGCACTGAATGACACCTGTATTCTGTTAGTAAGTTAATGCAAAAATTAGATGGTAGCAAAGTAATCTCCAGGAATCATTAAAATAATTAAAGGATGAAGTTTCCGATGTGCTATCCATAACCACTGAAAGTAAAATACTATAATGTGGCTGAATTGCCTAATAATATTGTTTTTGTTCTTTGTATCTGTGACTGAGATGTGTACAAATTACAGTGACTACTGACAAAAGCATTGGATAGGTGAAATTTCCTCCTTGGCTGTCCAGTGAAATTAGTGTGTGACCTTAACATTGTTTTAAGCTTTAGAGAAATTCAAGTCATCTCTTGACAGTTAATTGGCTCTGATCTTGAAGAAGATCATAGTGAGAATATAACCTTCTATTACTGGAAAAAACACATGGCTGTCCAGAAATTGCTTAGCTTGGAAGAAAAGTATTCTCTCCTTCAGCCCATCACTTTCACAACAATCCAAGAGGCTGTGGTCTTGTATGAAACACCTGGCAGAAAAAGGACATTGCGATTTCACAAGGTCCAGTAAAACATTGCTGAATGGATTCTTTTTAAGTTCCAGCTACTGAATCACCTCTTCTTAAGACTGAGAAACTAATAATATCATGAAACCTATTAGCGTTTTACATCTTGAAAAGTGAAGCTCAAATGAGTTCTTACGAAGATCTTTCATCCTGACTCCCTGTCTCTTCATCTTCTTTCCATGGAGGCACTGGTGTCATTAGGAGAGAGGAGACACTAGAAGATCCTCAGCCATAATCCATCATCCGTTAGTGGTGTAAACTCAAGAGCCCCAGCTCTGAGTAAGCCTCTATATAACATAACTAACTGATTTACATTGCACAAACACAGAATATGCTCTTTGAATCAGTGGCACATTATGAATTCTAGCTTTTGGAGACATATGATCAATCACTCTAAGAACACAAAATGGAAACCAAAGACTTTGGCAGTAAGATGGAAGATTTCCAAGGAAGTGGAAAAATGAGTGATGTCTTTCATTTCTGTATAATGTTCAAGATATTTTAAGTGGCGTGTAAGCCATAAGTAATAATAGAAAATTTAGCAAATTCAGATTGTGAACTCACAAGAGATTGTCTTCATACTGATTACACTTTTGCAGAACATCTAATCCCAGTCTCTTCAAAAGCAGATAAAACCACTGTACACATCACCAAATGATTTATTTTTTTCTTTGATATGTACCTCTTTATCAAGAGCAATGAAAAAAGTGTGTATGAACACCCAGGAAAAGATTAGCCTCTCCAAAGCCATATGGAAGTTTTGAGATTTCTGCTTACTGTTTTACTAATTAGATGATTCAACTGTGCTTTGTTAAGGGCTTCAAAAGTTGTGAGTCACCCCTGTACAGGACATGTGTTTACTCGTACAGTTGGGATTTATATTTAGAATCAAGGTTAACTATGTTCAGTTTGCAGCTTGGTTAGCATGGAAAGGCTTAAACTGTACTTCAAATGCCCAGGATGCGTTTTTTCAGGAACCTCAGATCCTGAGCTATGGTCAAAACCTTCACAATATTCTTAAGAACTAGAGAAAATTATAAGTCATTGAACAGAACAAGCTTGGGTCAGGAGCCAATCTCACTGCTGAAGATAAATCCATTGGTTGTAAAGACATGTTAACCTGTCTCTTGATTATGAAATCAATCTCATGAACCAAGACTAAGTAATATAGGGATATCTGTAGAACACAAAACAATCCCAGTTAAAAAAAAAACCAAAACAACAACAAGGGAATTAATGACTTGTGAGTTTTACTATAAGGCAACCATAGGGTTCAGCAAAATAGCAACTGATTACCATACCTAGGCACTCTGGAACACGGCCTCAGGCAATTGATCCACATATAGCTATGAAAACAGCAGTCAATGTCAACTGCTGTAATTTTACTGTTTACAAATACTGTGTTTTGCTAATGATGCTAGACTAACATAAACTCTCAACATTAATAACAATAAATATTTTGATTTAAACTCCCAGGGAGCTCGTTAGTGCTAGAATTGTGATTGGATTACAAATTGAGAACAAAAATAAGAAATAGAGATTTATTTATATGGCAGGAAATAATTATAGAAAACTATGTATTAACTGTTTCCCTTTCAGACCTGCTGGTATTTGAGCACAAGGCTTATTTGAATTGCATATTTTAGTGGTTTAAATTAATTTCATCTTATTTGGTAATGCACTTGTTCCTTCTGCATGTTTGGTGTGTGTGCTATAGTTATTAAAATGGAAAAGACTTTTGCTATGGTTTTGAAGGAAAATAATTTGGATGCCTGTATAGCGTACTCTATTAGTACTGAAAAAAAGCCACATAGACTAATCACCCTGGCTGCATCCTATGATGTGTTTTGATTTAAGAACCACAACAAATACACTCATAAGGATTTTGTGCTGCTGCTTTTGTAAAAGAAACCAAAAGGGAGAAGCGTGAGCTGTCCTGTGATTACCTGCTGTAGTCTGTGCTGCGATCAAGGGCTTACCGAGAGCTGTGCAGTGTCCTGGCAGCTCTCCCCATGCCAATTAACAGCTCAGAGTTGCTCATATCCCTCCTCCCTCCCTACTGTTGTATTAGATCAATTTTCTTAGGTTCTTCTATGGCTTTTTACAGTTGCCTTTACACCAATGTGGTGCCTCAGAGTGGCAAAAAGACCAAAATCAGCCATTTCAGTTTTTACATAGTCCCATATAGGATCTAGTTTTTCCTTACTTGCAGAATTATGTGTAAGGGATCCAGTATAGGACTCTCTTTCAATTTAGGGTAGAAACATTTAGTTTTAACTGAGTTTTATTATCCGTATTTTCCTTAAACTTTAAGTTAGCCCAGCTTTAAGAGCGAATTCAACAATTTCCATTTGGACCTCAATCACTAAGAGATAAGTTTATCATATATTTATAGATAATGATCTCATAAAACTGAATTCTAAAACCTAATTAACGTAATACTGTCAGGTTTATTTTCCATCACTTTAAATATAAGCATTCTGTGGAAGTAATGAATTGCCTGAGATGGACTCATGTTCCACTTAAGGACAGTCACACTCAATTTTGATAAACATCACACAAGAGAGGTCAACAAATAGCTTTTACTGATGGCATAAAACAAGTATAACTCTGTTCAATACTGAGGTAATATTAATAATCTACTTGGACTGATCTAATGGGCATTCATCCAAACTATAAAAGTGAATTTCATTTAAAAAGATTCTCATTTGCCTGATCAAACCCACACTTAGTTCTGTATTGAGCAACCTTTCTACTACCAAATCTGTCTCAAAGGGATAAACCACATTCACAACTGAAAGGTCACAGACTACATGATATCCTTCAGTTTTAGAGAGGGGTTGATAGTCTTAAAAAAAATAATCTGTAGCTGCACCTGATTTCACGTTAATGAATCTCAGCACCAAGTACAACCAACCTACCCTGTGCAAGGCTGGCCTCTTGCCACTGTGGCACTCCCGATATGCCATGGTGGCATCCCAAGCTCATCTCTATTCCCCACATGAAGACAACCAAGAATGAAAGGCAATGGCATAGCCATTTATCTGAAGAACTTATTTTTTCCACCATTTTTTTGTTGCTTTTCAAGTCTTTGAAACTCCCACTCTAAATACAGTGGTTTACTAGGAGAGGTCACCAAACACTGAGATGAAATTTCCTCCTTATTTAACTCCTTCCCAGCACAATCTGATCCTTTATTTTGTTCAGGATTGTGTATTTGAAAAGATAACAGTATCTTTATTGTTCAGGCTATTTTTTAGCATCTCTGGTTCTAGGATCCAGATATTTCCCACAGAAAATTACGCTATTACCTAAATGACTTCACTGTTCATTTTCCCCTTAATGTCTAACATGATTTCCTCTTTTTCAGCTTCAATATTTTACTCCTTGTAATTCCTCCTCCTTGCTTTTTGAAAATTATTTTCTTCTCATAGTGTTAATAGGTGTCCTCTAGTATGATAAAGAACATTTTTGCATTTGTTTTTAAAGTTTTATTTTCCAGGCACAAATAACTGTAAATGTAGTTATTTGTCCATGTTTATGGATGGGTACAACAGATGCTATTTCCTGGCGATGTCTGACTATGCCCACATATGAAGGAGGCAAACATCTAAATAACAATTTATACCAATAATTATTGATAGGAGGTGTAAATGTGCCAATGTGTAACAGTGCTGTGTGTTTCTTTTAAAGAAAAATCAGATTAATTTTAGCCACAATGCCATTCTTAAAATAAAGAGCCTATTCAATCACTGTAACTTTTCAGTGTGGGTCACCTCCTCTTTTATTTATTTATTTATTTTTGTTAATAAGAAATCACTTCTCTGTTTAACAGCAAAATGCTTAAAGTTGCTCACTTATTTCAGATACAGCCTTACTGGGTTGTCTGAATAATAACAATTTTCATTCCCATATTCTTTAATGGAGCATTTGTGTGTTTTATTTTTCCTTTTGAAGTAATACCCCAAAAGAAGATCTGAAAAAAGGAAAGGGAGGAGTTAATATTAATCTAGCACTGATAACATGCATGTCGAAAGAGTGATTCAAAATTCAGCCCCTCTAAATTTTGCTTTATCTTAATGCTCCACCTTTTAACCTGGCTTCCCAATGAATATTATAGCTCAAACTTTGTAATGATATCTCTCCAAGAACTTGTTTCTGGCTTCATAGTGCCTTATCTGCCTCACCAGGATATTTATTCCAAACAATGAAACTGTTCACCACACTAATAAGAAGTTTGTAAACTTGGGATAGAGAAGTATCACGGCACTTATTTCAAAAAGGAGGAAATTACTCTCATAAGTAAGTAGAGCCATATCAAGATCAAACCCCTTTCACAGTTCAATACAACTTTTCAGTAAACATACCATTTTGTCACTGAATTCTTCATGAATAAACACAAGGAAAGAGAAACAAATAAACTGACTGAAGAAACTCTGCCACCTACTTTTTCTTCCATAGGTGAGAAAGAGAGAAATCGGTTCTCTGCTCTGTTTCTGTTTCATGGATAGAATTCTGTTTTCTGTAGGTGTATATATTTGAAAAGCTGCGCTATAGAAGGAGAGGTCCCACAGGGATAAGCTGTTTTCTGCAATATGCCCCTTTCTGTAGAAGAAAGTAACTGTACCACACAATGTTGTACTTCATCTACCGTTGATGAAGGCATATGAAGACAGGATAGATAATTCTGGATAACTGCAAGAGTGCCAGCCGTAGTGTAATCAGTGGTACACAGATTTACATGTTGCCTAACAGATTATAATTCATCAACATAACATATATGAGGGTCTCTAGTCTCTTAAATTCTCTGATAGTCACGACACAGTTAATATGGAATGAATGAGTTAGACCTAATTTTATGTATCTAAACATGATATTATATTTGTACCTTTCTTAACTTTCTCTTTAGAGTAGACAAAAATCATGTTCTGACTGAAATGCTTAAGAAGCCATCACTGATGTTGGGAAGAAAAACGAAACCACTCTTTTTACATTTAATTTTAACATTTTCAGCAACAGATCAAGCTGTAACTGAAGGCTGTTGAACTTCCAACTCCAAAAACATTGCTATATTTGATATATTAATTTAGATTTCTCACTAGATGTTTTTCCCGCACAGAAAATTTCAGAATACATTTCCCCATTATACCAAGTGTCTTAATCAAATGTGTCAAAATTGAGCCATCTTGAGGTTCTTAGCTCATATTTGGGTACCTCAGCAAGAAGGTTTTGCAGAGGTGAATTTCAAAATTTCCGAGCAAACCGTTTAATTGGTACCAGAATTGAAAACATTGGCCTAGATGTTAGTCCCTGGTTTCTGAAATATAAAATTTATGTCTTGAATAACACATTGTTTAGCAGTTAAAAGATTAATGCTACTTCTTACTATATTTGTTTTTAAACATCAATTTACTGCCCACAATTTGATCAGATGTGGATCGGATATTTTTTTATAACAGATAAATTAAATTTACACTGTTGAACTGACATCATGAAACTATAATGTACTGAGCAACGGGGATATTGTGATATTCGAGGGGTTTGGCTACAGGCAGGAACATGCAACACAATTCAAAACGGGAGGGATGCAAAGATTATTTACATTTCTCTAACCTGTGGTTAAAGAAACTACTCCAATCCTGCCTTCCCTCCATCCCATTTTTCCCATGCTCCACTCATTTTTGCTTTTAACTGATAGTGATGCAAATGGCTCTTAAAATTTCTGAAGAGACTCAGTTCCTCCTATAGAAGCAGCGATATTAAACAATCTTGCTCTCAGGATTAAATTTTAGCTGGACTGGGTGATCCTTTCATGAAGTATGCAGACCTGTTCTCCCAGTACACCCTTGAAGTCTGGCTTCAGAAATATAGATAGAAACATGCATACTTAAGACTCTGTACCAATGTCCTTAGTTTCTAATCTGCAATCCAGAGAATGAGACAAAATTCTTTCCCTGCAGCTCCCTGTTTGTTCTTCCAGTAACAGTAACAGTTCAACAAATCATAATAGCTACAAAACTCATATAAGAAATCATCATATGCTCAATTTTTTCCTGTAGACATGTACCAGACACTACACAGTTTGCAGAGTTTCATTTATTTATTGCCTTCTCTGCTATGTTTATATACTGTGATACAGTAGCTGACTGAACTGTATAGTTGCATTAATCAAAGATTAAGGAGCATTTATTTCTAAACTAGTCCAAGGGTTTACAAATAAGCAGGCAAAAGTACTGGTAGGTAAAAGGAAAAAGTTATTCTTATTTTGTTGCATATTACCTGAAATTGCACACAAAAATTTAGACCAACACATTTTAAAATGCATTAATATTTTATGACCAGAATTTTATCTTTGGCCGTTCCCTGAAGTCAGTGACATCAAACCATTGAAGAAGGTGGCTCACAATTCAAGAACTGTTGCAAGGCGGTAGCCTCAAACCACAGAATAAGCTTACCCTTAATTATCTTACATTTCATCCTCAGGAGATGGTATAAAAATTCTAGTGTAATACCCTGTTCTTCTTATAATGAAATTCCTCTGAGAGCTATTATATGGTTGAACTATACTTTGTGGGGTGGGTTGCTTTGTTTTATTTTACCTGAAGAATCCAAAAGGAAAGATAATAAAAAACACATTGAAAAGAAATAAATCCAACCTTTCCATGCACCAGAAAGACAGGTTTGTGCTTGTATGTTCAGAACTTTCATGTCAGTGAACAACAAGCTTTTAAGACCTGATTTGGGGATTGTGTCACAGCAGAGCAGAGTGAACAGAGGGATGCTGATAAAGACAATACCTTCAAAACAACGTTTTTAGAAAGATGGAATTACTATGTGGTTTTATACCTTTTTATGGATTCAGCACCAAAAGCCGAAGAAGAAAGACATTTTTATCAAGCTGTGAAGACAAAATGCTAGAGAAACAAATCCTGACATACCCATGTAGAAAAAAAATCTTATAAATTTCTCTGAGACTTTTATGGCTAAGGCTGATTGATGCTTTCAGTTCGAAAACCAAATCTTCTCATGAAAGTAGTCACAGATAGATGTGCTATCTAGGCCTGATTCATAAACTTGTCATTTGTCAGGTCACAGGTCATATTTTATTATATTTTATCCTTCATACAATTTTTATACATATTCAGAGGTCTTCTTGAATTGTGAACCATTTTCTTCTTTTGGGTATAAGTGTGAGAATACCAAGTATGTGAAAGACAGAGAAGGGATGGCATATTTGAAAAGATGGATATTGTATGCCAGCATTATTTTATAGGTATATAGAAACACAATTAAAACAAGTATATAATGGGAAAATAGAATTGTTTTACCTAACACATAACCTTGAAAATTATAATACAACCCACCTCCCAGTCCTGGTCTCAAGCGGTTATCATAGCCATCCAGCAGACGATCCAATATCCTGGTAAATACTGTGGTGTTGTCTTTAAGTTCATCTTGTGATGACGTTTGTCCGTAGCTGAAATACAGAACCATGAAAACTGAAAACCAGTAATCCACCAATAAGCTTACAAAACAATTCAAAATTCTGTTTAATCTTGCTTATAGTGGTTTACATGCACAATATCTCCCCCATAAAACAATATTGTAGTACTTTATAGGGTTCTTTCACTGAAACATTTTCTTCTTAAATTGTACATTTTTTTGTAAAATCCTAGAAAATCAGTGCCTCTCTGTAAACAGTGAGCAAATGGAATGTCAGTTCCTCGGTGTTTATCTCATTATTCATTAATGGTTATAATGTTCTGTGCGTTCCTCAGGAAAAGGCTCATTTGTCAGCAAAAGATAACATGTTTAATTCATAGTAGTTATAAAGGGTTTGCATACAAAGAAAGATACAGTAATTTAAAACACTGACACTTAAGTACTGAAAATAAACTCTAGAGCAAAGATAAAACAAAAAATAGAGATGACTTCCGTATCGATATAGAAGTCAATCAAGTGAGTGTTCATTTTCAATATATAATTTTGCTTTATTTTCTTTCCTATTTTCCTTTAGCAATTAGATTTGGAGGAATACCTCCAACTTTTCCTTAAAAACGTGTACAAAACCATCTGTTGATACAGTAATCTCTTATGTCTATCAAGTTTCACTTACAGATCCCTAATGTATATCTTGAACTCAGCCAAAGGTCCTGAAATTTTGCTTGAACAAGGATAAAATTAAGCTTTTTGAGCTCAGCTACCAAAATCTTATTTCCATCAATACAAATGGTATGGAATCCTTGGGCTAAGTGGTTTCTGTCTGCTGTAGATGACATCAGAACCAACCTTTTTCTTAAATCTGAAACCTTTACCAAACACCCCGTCATAGATGATTCTCTTAATCATAGATTACAGTTGTCTTAAATCCAAACCCAGTATTGTTTTTTCATTCATTACTGGGAGGACTTCCATTAGAAACCTGTGTAGTCATCATGACCAAAAGCAAAAACACTGCTTTCCAAAACATCATTTTGTCTCACACATTGCTACTGAACTGGATAACCAGTGCAGTGCCAAAACCTTTTGTTAGGATCAAGTCTAGTCACAGAAGTGATCCTTCCATTGGGCAGCTCGTTATCCGTACAGCTACGGCGATCTGCGGGTCTCGGTGCTCTCTGCCAGTTGCTCCTGCTCTAACCAGCAAAGACCGTCTTATGAGGAATATACTGCTACATGAAATGATCTCGTTCTACTGAAATACCTACAAAATTATTTTCTGTTAAGCTGCATCAGTCAAACATCATTTATATATCATACACATCTGATCCACTTTTATTTAAGAGAGAAGGAGGAAAGATACCCTGAATATAGGTGCTCTGGAAATGCTTCCAAGCTATTTTGCAGTACAGATTTGAATATGTAAACACTACAAATTTAAATGAGTTTCAAAACAGACACTCCTAGAAGTTTTACTAACTTTTGTTTTATTTCAGTAAGGTGTGACTTTGTAGAGAACAATATTCAGGGTTTTTAATGCATATAGATCACTGTTTCTAATGAAGAGACAAAATCTCTAACAGCTTTAAAAAATACTATTAATTTCCTGCACCCATATCATATAATTTTGCTTAATGAAAAAAGGGTTGATTTATATTTATTTTCATACCTACAGTTGAATTTTAAGTCACAGCCATTAACATTTCTTTTTCTTTTATGCTTCCTATATGTTACCAAATAACAAGTTCTCCTGCTGTCTCCAGTGAGCATTATCTTTCAAAGGATCATTCCTCATGCGCCTTATGTAGAACTGCAACACAGGTCTTTTCACTGGATTAAATCTTACATTAACACTCATTGTCAGTAAACAAGCTGCTGTACATACATATCTCAAGGATAGTAGAAGGTCATCAGAATTAAGGTGGCAAAAGGATATAAAAGCACTTCAAAAATTGTAGTGGTAAATAAATGAGCATGTTTGCAGAAGAGGCGTCAGAAAGATGGACTGTTGGCAGTGCGCTCGGCAAGGATGCAACACAATGCACCGCTTCCATTCTGAGTGTCACATTTGTCAGTACCCTTACCTGTTCTTCCCACCATTTTATCAGAGGTAAAAAAGCACCCTTAGGGCTGGCTTTAACTGACATATGGTCACAACAAGAAGAATCTGGACATTTGTGTACATACAGAGTACTGTAACTCCAGAGGGGTTGTGATTTTTCATTCAAAACACATACGTTAAAATAGTCCTAGTGTTGCTTTTTATGACAAGAAGAATGATACGAGAAGGCTGCATCTTTCTGTATTACAGGCACTTCTAATTCATCATTCTTTTTTATCTTAAAAGATTAACAGCACTTCAGAAGAACAGGCAAGGGAAGATACTATGACAAAACGGTTTTAAAACCAGATGTATTTCATGTAAGGTGTGTACATTTTGAGGGAAAGGTGACTGTAAGCTATTGTGTTTTCATGTTAAACCACAGTATAATAAAAAACTGTGCACTAACTCCATCTACAGGTCATTATAATAGTGACACGCCACATAATTTTTAAACACTAGTCCAATGCAGTTTAATTCTCACTTTAAAAATGCACATGCATACATTAGATATATAATAAATACATTTACACATGTATATGTACACATATCTATATAATAAACCTGTTTCCACAAAATTCTCTAGCTAGGCCAGATGAAGTACTTCATGAATACTTTGAATCTCACCTTTCTTAATATATTATCAAAATCAAGGTATTGCTTCTAAAATGCCATGTCTATTCAATGCAGCAATTGTTACATGAATCACCTGATTTCATTTTCTTTTAAAGGAAATGCTTGTACGGAAGAACCTTTGCCCACCCCACTCTATCTAAAATCTTCAACCTAGCCAGAAGGTAAGTTTGTCTAGAGGTGCAGATGCATAAGGAGACACTATGGAGGTCAAGGCACAAATACACCTTTGTGGGATCGCTGTTGACAATATAAAATTTCTAGTGCTTTTTGGTCATTAGGTGACATTATTGACTGGACTTTAATATTTTTAAAATACAGAAATATAAGTCTTCTTAAACATCTTTACTGAATTCTGAATTGCAGACAGTACTTCAAGCATACTCTAAAGTCCTTGACAATCTAGTTAACTTACTAGTTGTTAGATGAGGTGTTGTATGATTACAAATTGTTCTTAATACTAATGCTGGTTTTAGATTATGATTTCAACATATATTCCGTACACATTCAGTGCAGCATGGTCTTTCAAACACAAACTGTTACGGGATTTGTGCTTACAGATTCTCCTTCATCCAAGCAGTCTCCCTTCACCAGGAAGGTCTATTTCAGATTTGCAAAAACAGCTGCTAAGGTAGGACACAATCCTGACCAACAGACAAGTAAAAGTTTTGCCTCTGCTTGCAAGAACAATAGTTACTAAATAGCACTTAAACAAAATTTAAAAAAGGCTTGATTACACTTTTTTTTTCCTCTAAAGAAACTTGTATTTCTGAGCAGTCATTATACAAGAGTAGAAAGGATTGCACAGGTGTTTAAGAGGTATTTCAATTTGTTTCAGAAAGGCTTTGCTTTTTTTTCTTCACAATATTGAAAAAGATGTTATGCAAACAAATTGTAGTTTTCTTTCAGACTTCCCTTAGTTATATTTAGCTGGGATTTGAACAGGGATTAACCTCCCCCAATACACTTAGTAGTAGTGCAGCCCATGCAGTATTTGTCTTACGCTGCTGTATTAAGTTAAATGTTCCAAAAATACGTTAGTGCGTTAAAGAATATCACCCCACCTTCTTTCAGTCAGTGCATTCAGGAGGAGGCTCCAGGCCCAGAGGCAGTCACAAAGCACCAAGAGTCTCTTCATGGTGGGCTCTGAAACTAAAAGGAAAATAACCATCAACATCCTCTGAATTAAAACAGGTACTGTGAAAAAAATGTCCAATTTAGGAAACTTTTGCAGCATAATTTGATGTCAGGCAACAACCTCACAATACTACAGCTCCTGTCATCCAGAATAAGGGAGCATGGTTTTGGCTGCTCTCATTTACCTTTTACTTTTAGACAGAGGCTTAGGGTGGGATTTATTTTGCGGTAAGGGAGTATTCCTGTTTGCATTATTCTTGAAATTTAACAAAACCAGTTATGAGTTAAAGCTGCTGTCCCCAAACTCTGTACCAATTCTTACTCACTTCCCTCCTGTGTTGAAAATGTGACAAGGCGCCTCTATAACATTTCCAGATAACCAAGTGTAACTGGTTTTTGTTTGGCTTGAACCAGCCTGAGTCCTTCCAAACCTCTTGGAAGGTGTCAGTGTGTGGTAGTGTGACTGGGGAGAGAGCGGTGCTTCCCTCACAGCTACTGCTTTGCTTTGATGTGGTGGAAGCAACTTCTTCTACAGATATTACTACTCTTTCCTGAAATACTGGCATCAGAGAAGGAGTAAAATGATCAGATTCTGACTCTGTGATCAGCTGCTACATATGTACACTAATATTTTTGTTGGGCTAAAGGGCACAATTCATAATCAAACCATGTGCTGACAACCTACACACCATCTCCTACATCTCTACCAGTCTCTGCTGCTAGGAAATGGTTTTGCATTAGCAGCCTTCTCATCCTCTTCAAATATCTCCAGTCCTCCCTCCAGACTTCCCCAAGTTACTCTCAGTTTACCTGTGAGCAAAAACTAACACAACTCGGGTTTCTTTCACTTTCTAATAAACCATAAAATACAAAGTTAACTGGTATTTGTGGAACCGGTGTTCCAGATACAGCTGGCTGCCTGGGAGATGCTGCAGGTCCGTTATCTGTGTGCTGGAATCCAGGCGATTTTTAGTATTCATTACATTAAAAAAGGGCAACGAAATAAGAAGCCTGTATTTTCCTTCAGTAGTGAATTGGAGGTTTTTTAAATGCCTAAGAAAACAAAGCACTGTATGTGCAAATGTTGTTGTACCTTTAAATAAAGCTACCCCAATTCACTGCATACTCTCAGGGACAATTTAAATCAATAAAATATCATTACAAAGCGGCATGTAAGCAATGAGATACAATTAATGCGTTTATAGCCAAATGATCGGCAGATAAGCATAGACTGGGGCTGAGCTAATCTCACTGGGTAGCAAAGAGCTGGCTGTGACTGGGAAGCGTGGATAAAGATCTTCAGGGACGAGACTGCATCTTAACTTGCCCTGTAACCAGCCCCCTTACAAAGGGAAAGGCAACATCTGTGGCTTCAAAAATCGCCTTCTCCCGGTCCTGCCAACTTCTGCCTCTACAAAAGGCTCCTCGGGATAAAGAACGGAAAGTGAATTATTCCCAACTATCTTGATCTGTTGAGCTCCGCGCTCGCCCCCCTCCCGGCACCACCCCCCGCTTCAATAAACCCATACAGGCGCTATAAATCCTGGAGAAGGAAAGTTTCTTGCAGCTAGAAAAAGCAAATGTTAGCAAAGACTTTCAAGGAGCGCTGGACCCCCGCAGCCCCCAGCCCCTGGCCTCCCTCTGCCCGCACCGCCTGGGGAACCAGCTCGGCTTTTCCCATTCAAAATGGGAGAAAAATCCACGTTTTGGGAGAATGTCAGCAGCGCCCGTGGGAAAAAGGAAAAAAAAAAAAAAGAAAAAAATTAAAAAGGGGAAAAAATTAAAAACCGGGGGAAGAAGGGAACATTTTGATGCAGTTTTGACTCCTGGTGAGAGATTTGCCCATCTCTGAGGCGTAAATCGAGACTTGTTTTCCTCCCGGCATTTCAACTTTGTATTTTCCCCTCACCCCGAGAAAGCCACCCCTCCCACTGCCTCCCGCGGAGGGGGAAAACGGGGGGAAAAAAGAGCCCCAAACCCAAAAAAAACCTTTCCCAAGCGACCGGTGGAAATCAGTCCACGCTAAAAAATAAATAAATAAGGCAAATTACAAAGCCCATCGATCGCTGCGGATTTTCAGGCTGGAGGGATAGGGAAAAAAATCCC